TTTATGAATAAAACTTTTCATTATATATTTTGAATTGTTTATTTTGAACTATTAATTTATTAGTTGGTCTGGTGTCATGTCTATGCCAGATGCTATGATTAGATCCAAGTAATATTTTCACATTTAAATAGGAAAGTGTGGATTGATTTTACAACATTTATCCATGGGACTATTTTTTGCGACTATATATTTTTCTTGATTTATATTCAATTTATGATTTCCATGTCACAATTAAACAAACATAGTCGTTGTTTACGTTTACTTTCTCCCTTTACCCTTGGGCGATAAGCCAGATATCGAAGAGTTCAGTTTGAGTGGTTTCTTACAGTTGGGCATTAAAATGTTGATTATTCATGTAGGCAATCTGTATTTTACAAATATACTTTGAGTGGTGAAAATTGATAAAATGAAAAATGAAAATACTACTGGTACTTAATTACATCCATGTGTTTTTCTGTTGGATTTGTTTTGTTTCTTATTTTCATTACTCTGGATGCAGGTCTGCTGGTGTTGCTGAGAAGAAAAAATGATCAACTATTCTGAACTTAGTTTTGCAGCAGGTTATCAGTAGATTGGTTAACATTCGTGTAGTTTCGCAGTTTCTTAATGTGGCTTGTAGTCTGCTTTTTCAGATGTTATATGACTGATGTCATTAAACATCAAGACACGACTAAATTTATGTTAATTTTGTGTTACAATCGATTTCATAAGAAAGATGATGTGGTTTACATTTCAATATGATAATATCATTAGACAACACTTGAATAATAGTGGCTGCAACTATGGGCATGTCTATTTTGTTACATGTTTTTGCATGTTAGTATGGCATCACAAGACTCCAGTGTATATAAAAAAAAAGGGTCTAATACTCAAATCTGGTGAGCCTTGTTAATGTTTTATTTGTATGTGCTATCTTGAGCACAATACTTTAACAATTTGTAAGATTCAAATGAAGCCTATCTAAATAATTTGTTTGAGGTGATGAAGTGGATTATCCAGAGAGCTCAAGCTTACCTGGTTCAATTAGTTTGAGGCTGTAACTCTGTAAGTACTAGTTAGGGCACCATGTTTTTATCCCAGTCCGCTTTCAAGTTCATTGTGGGTGGTGAGTGAATAATTGTGCATTATTGAGTATTTGAGTGCATCTTGTAAGGATCTAAATTCTAAACTGATGTCTGAAAATGTGTTATTAAATCTGAGGTGCTTGATTTCTACTTGTGAAGGAGCAAACTTTCTTGCCCTGTGTTGTCAGTGTATGCCAACCGAAAATGAAAAAAAGCGCATAAAAACTCACTGGTTGTACTTGCAGCCAAGCAAGATTTACCTGTAAACATTGGTTGTTCCTCATTTAGATGAACTCTCTGTTGAATTTGGTATCTTTGACGACCAATTATGGATTTTGTTGTGGCAATAAAGTCAATGGCTCCTTGTTGATGAGCCTCTCTCTGACTCTGTTTCTTGACAAATGCCATACCAATTTGCTGAGGGAACTGCTCCCCTGTGCAAGAAATGAGGCACCACAGCTGAACAAGAGAATGATAAACTGCATCCCATGAGAAACTGATACTATATAGGTGCAAGGATGATTTCGCAGGTGAGAAGTAACCTGTGATAGCTTGGCTCTTAAAAATTTATTGCTAAAATGATGAAAGATTACAGCATAGTCTCAAACAGGTATAGTGTCGTACTATGATCTCAAATAATACCAAATATCTACTATACTATGTCACCATTGATCACTGCTGCCCACCTACCTGAGTCGAAGGTCTTGGAACCTGTAATTTTTTTTATCTCTGGTTCCAAGCTCCCAGCCAATACCATTTGGTTCTGGAAGTGTTACTCAGCAGTCAGCACTGTAATCTCTATGTGCAGCTTTCCCTGTATCTAGCGCCATATGGTTCCCTTACCTGCCACAAATAGTCCCTCCGAGAAGAATTCCATTTCTGGTTGGATATTTTACCTTACCTGTCATTAGTTTTCCTAGCTGCTTTATGAAATAGTAAGAGAAACAGATTCTCTAAGAACTCAAGAAGACTGAAAGCAATTCCACCAGGGCATTGAGGGGGACCTTAATTTAGAACACACAACGCCTTATTCCATGAAGTATTGGATGAAAAAAAAAATCCCTCCCAAACTAACTGCAATTCTTCCCCTCCCCCCTCTAATTCTTCGAAATGACTTAGATCTTGAAGGAAACAAGAGACTACAACATTCACTCACAGTGGGTAAGACTCCAGAATGGATTTAAACGGAGATATTGGACTTCCATGAGGTGGGGAAAACACACAGGATGGCTGTATTTGTTCTGAAATGTTGCAGAAAACATGAGCTTCTTAGTCAGTTAGTCCCACAATGACAAATGAATACAAAATTCTGCGGTAAATATAGGCCTTCGTAACATAATTTATTGCCGAGCTCAGTAACACGGGCTTGTAACTCATGTGAGGGCATTAAGGTGATTGGACTTTGGGCTTTGCTTGATCTGGTTGGGCTTGTGCTGCACATACTGACTCGCCCGTTCCAAGTTGGGAGTTGGACTATGTGTGACAGGCGAAGGCCTGTGCCACTTGGTTCCTAGAGTGGAGGGGACCTCGTCAGGCTGGTTTCACAGAGCAGCGAAAACCTCCCTCTCTTGACAGTGGAAGGATAACGAGACGGGTGCTCCATCGGTCCGCTATGGCCAGATGGGCCCAGTCCAAAGAACTATCACTTTTTTATTTCTTGTTAGCATTTGTTTTGCTCATTAAAAGAGGGCTGGGCCAAAGACCTCGTATATCCAGTAAAAGGCCAAATGAGAAACTCATTGAATCCAGTAAACCCATTTAAGAAGCCCAAACTGAAGGAAAATGACTGCTATAATGATCAAAATTTGTCTAGATTCCACCTTAAAGTTTGGAAAATTGCGGCACCACCTAGAGCCTTACTTTTCTTTTGGAAATGCAATTCCAACAAAAGAAAAACTAGGCAAACACATTCCTATACCTGACATGTTTTGTTCTATGTGTGGTCACCCTAATGAAAGTATTAGATGTTAGAGTATTAGGGTAGTTTGGTAATTATAATAGGTATTGGTTAGGGTTAGGGTTTGACTAAACCTATATAATGTAATTAGGATTATTGGAATGAATAACTCATCAATATACAATGTAGCCTCTTTTGTTATCTGCTTCCATGCTTCCCTTATTTATATTATCGTTAGACACATGCTTCTTGATTGCCCCCTTCACCCATGTTGTTTGGTTTTTAAGTAAATGGAATTTTAGATGAATTCATTTTCCTAAAATATATAAATATATGAATATA